GTAAGAGGATACTGTGGTCAATTCTTTCCAGGAGGGGAAAATGTGTTTCTGATATAGCGGAACTTAAATATATATTTTTACACCCGCATAGGGGAAGGTCGGAGGGTTTCATCTTTTCATCTTATTTTGAAGTTTTTGTGATGGAGAAAGAAGCTTCACATCATTGCCTGTGACTCAGAGCCGCTGCTGCCTTGTTAGCAGGCCCCTCGCTCTGGCAGTGACCTGCCACTTCTTCCCTTTAGAGGCCTCGGGGAACAAAACGTGCTTCCAGGACCCCCGGGGCCCTGGACCCGTCCGTGCTCCTGTCTCTAGGATAAGACCTGGGAGGCTATGACACAAGTCAAGGAAGCAACAGAAACGTATTCCTATATTTCTCTTGTTCATTGTGCAAATAACTACTTAGCTAAGCACTACAATATGGCTGTTGGTTTAGAGCAGCGATGGTGAACCTTTTGAGCTCAGCGTGTCAGCATTTTGAAAAACTCCTAACTTAACTCTGGTGCCGTGTCACATATAGAAATTTTTTGATACTTGCAACCATAGTAAAACAAAGACTTATATTTTTGATATTTATTTTATATATTTAAATGCCATTTAACAAAGAAAAATCAACCAAAAAAATGAGTTCGTGTGTCACCTCTGACACGCATGTCATAGGTTCGCCATCACTGGTTTAGAGCTTCCTTCTGAAGGCTGCCTGGTCTGTGGCCTGTACTAGCCAGGTAATTCTTGGCCAGTTACTGAAATGTCCTGAGCCTTAGTTTCCTTATCTGTAAAAGAAGATATTACCAGTATTCACCCCAGTGTGTGTGTGTATGTCTTTGAGTGCATATGTGCGCACGCACACACACATGAATTTGTTTACATAATCCATGGAAAATGCTTTGCTTGGTGCCTGACATGTAACAGGCACTCGGTAAGTATTTGCTGTTTTTACTCTGGGGAGAAGAGGTAGTTCCTCGGCCTGTGGGGAGGGCAATGGCAGGCAGCAGACAGTGGCTGACTGTTTTCCTCGCTGTGGCCTTGGGGACTCCTGCATGCGGGGGCTCTCAGCCGGCCGCTGTGGTGTCCACAAGACCCCCGGCAGGGCCTGGAGACGTCTCTGTGCTTATCAGTTCTGAGGCCCTGCTTGTTGGGCTTTCAGAACTGCAAATAGCCCTGGAGAGGGAGTCCGAATTTCTGACTCTTCCCCTGTAATGGATGGTGACCACACCCCCTGCCGCCACCGCTGGTGACACAGGCTTTCAGCATAATGGAAGGCTTTCGGGGATCTATTTTTCTCTCGCTGCATTACTCACCTCACTCCTCTGTGTCACAAGGAAGGAGAGGGGGAGAAGCACAGTAAACTGCCAAGGATGAGTCAAGTTTCAATAGCGCATCCCTGCTCAGGAGGCACCGCTGTTTCTTATGCATTCCCGAGATTCAAATCACAAAGCAAGTCCTGAACTCACGCGCCTTTCTTCCTCCTTTTCGGGGAAGGGCGGCGACTGGAACTGTGTTTTGATTGTATTTTTTCTAGGCTAGAGAATGAGGGAAAGTGATACTCCCAGAACTGGCTTCTTCGGGGCCTTTGGGAGCCTTGATCATGAACACAGGCTGGTTCTTGCAGCCTCAGCTCTCACCTTCTGAGACATCAACCCCCATCTGAGCCTTTCTGCCTTCCCTCCCAGGGGTGGCCACGGCCACTATGGTTACTCAGTGACTCTAGCTTAAGGATGAGTGTGGAGAACTCCTTAACGACCAGCACCCTGCTCTGGCCTTCTCCGCAGGGGTAGCACCCAACTGATGCTCCATTCATTTCAGTGAGGAGGCTGGTCAGTTCCCACATGAATGTAAGTGCCTCCACCTATAACGTCTGTACAGAGTTCTCTTTTCAGGGTGGCATAGGGTCCTTCCCCAGGAGGTGTCAAGAGAGGGGAATGCTAAAGAGAAGGAAGAGATGCCATCATTTTTATGATGGTCTGTTGTGTAAGCTAAAGGATTTTTTTAATAACACCTTGTACTTGCATATATTTTCTTATTTCCATGGTACACAGCAAGGGAAAGATCAGAAGGAAGGTAAAGCGTAGGGTCAAGTTCAGCGTGTGGGGCAGAACGTAGGACATGGTTGAATTAACCGGCTTTTGTCTGGCATGAGTCATGTTTTGAGCATCTCCAGAGGCCATAGGAAACAACATTGCAGAAAACATTGATTTTAACAGAATGGGCGTGCTTGAGGCCTGCAGTTCCCAGCTTGGGCCGAGGATTCGAGTCTCAGGGAGCTTTTTGGTGTGATGCAAGCTCTGGGCTCTGTGCCAGGGAATTCTGAGTCCCTGGTCTTGGGTAGGACTCTTCATGGTAGAAGTTCCCCCAGGTGGTTCTGATGACTGGCCAAGTTTGGGAACTGAAGAGCTGGGCCACATTCTGAGGCGAAGTGATCACATGTCATCTGCCATCGATAGGGCAGCTCAGGCTCACTTCTCCACCTTTGGTTGTGAAACGTAACAATACAGAAAAGCACACAAAGCAGAAATGCGGCTCAGAGCAACATCCAGTGTCCACCTCCCAGCTGAGAAAGGGAACATTGCCAACAGGTGCGTTTTTTGGCAATTAAACAGAATCTTGAAAATTTCCCTATTGACAAGCCATGGGAACTATTCCGTTGCTCTAGCGCAGCAGTGGGCAAACTACGGCCCGCGGGCCGGATCCGGCCAGTTTGAAATGAATAAAACTAAAAAAAAAAAAAAAAGACCGTACCCTTTTATGTAATGATGTTTACTTTGAATTTATATTAGTTCACACAAACACTCCATCCATGCTTTTGTTCCGGCCCTCCGGTCCAGTTTAAGAACCCATTGTGGCCCTCGAGTCAAAAAGTTTGCCCACCCCTGCTCTAGCGTCTGAATGGCAAGCCTTGGGCTTTGGGTGTATCTCTCACACTCTCGGGCTTCTTTCTGACTTAAGCTAACTTTTCACCCTTCATACCCTGCCCTTGGATCCTGGAATTAACCAAGAGTCAGAATTTCACTTCAAACCCCAACTCCTCCACTTTCCTGTGGTGTGAACTTGGGCGAGTTACTTTTTACCTCTGGCCTTTAGAGTTCTCGTCTATACAATGAAAAGAATAACAATAATTACCTCGCAGGATTTTGTGAGCATTACATTTGTTGAGAAAATTCAATAGGACCTGGCAATCTACAATTTTCCTGTCAAATCCCGTTTTCACTTTACTCCTCTCCAAAACGTGTCTTCCAAGAAATTACCCCGTCTCTCCCCTGCATCTGGGCCCCAAGCCAGCGGCCTGTGTCATTTCCATCCACAGGCTCTTATCTCTCACCTTAAAAGGAAACAAGCAAACAAACAGAATCCCGCCGTGACCCCACATCTCTCTCCTGCCGTCACCTCATTTTTCTGCTTACCTTCCCGGAACAGTTTTTGTAATTATTGTCTCTGCTTATTCACTCCACGTTGTTTCCTCTCTGCTCTGCGGTTGGGCTTCTGTGTCCCTGAGCCACTGAGACCACACCTGTCCTGCTGACCAATAATGTCTGCATTGCCCCAGTCCAGTGCAGACTGCTCTATCCTGAACTTAGTTGGCCTTTCAGCAGCATTTGACAGAGCTGACCATGCTGTGAGTTGGAGGGAGAGCCTTCCAGGCAGAGGGAACTGCAAGCACAACGGCCCTGAGATAGAAACAGAAGAAAAGGCTGGTGTGGTTAGAGCACAGAGGGTGGGGGGTAAGAGCCGAGAAGGCTGAGGTCAGCAGGGGCCTCGTCACATGGCACCCGGTCCACTGGAGTGAAGCTTCAGCACTGGGCCTGGCACAGAGCAGGTGCCCGGTGTTAGCTATTGTCATTGTTAATACAGTGGGGCCTTGACTTACGAGTTTAATTCGTTCCGTGACGGAGCTCGTAACTCAAATTACTCGTATGTCAAATCTTAAAGTGAACGAGTGAGACACGTGATGCTGGGCTGATGTTGTGGCGTTCACTGTGACGTTCGCTGCGCCAACTAGTGGTGGGGTATCTGAAGCTGGCTCGTAACCCAAATTTTAGCTCGCAACTCAAAGCAAAAAATCGGCTGAGAGACGGCTCGTATCTCAAAAAACTCGTTAGTCGGGACACTCATAAGTCAAGGCCCCACTGTAGTGCCAAGTGTGGGAGAGGTGGGAAGCGGGCTGAGAAAATCCCAGGCCTTGAAGAGCTTTCCTTCTAGTCGAGCGTCTTACATCCATTACGTGGGTTGCTGGGCAGGAGCCTGTGAGCCAATGTCTCGATGTCAATTTGCTGTCATTGCCCTCCCCCAATCCCCAACCCCCCACCCTCCCCCTACACTTTCTTGGTGAAATGCGCCCGATCCAGTGATTCCCTCTGGACATTTAAGGGTTAGTTTCTCACTTGAAAGGCAACAAAAGTGGGCTGTGAGTCCAGTGGAGAAAGAGATGACTAAGATCCCAACCATGAGATCACAGTGTGGGCTGGGGACAGAAACCAGCCCTGGTGTCCTCTCTGATTTTCCAGATTACTCAAAGTAATCCCTTCCAAGTAAATAATAGCTGGCCTCTGCGGTTTCATCTGTGCCGAGCTGCCCAGCACACAAAAGAAAGCAGACTCTGGGAGCAGCCCTTTGAGTTCCTGATGCAACGCCTGTGACCTAACCATGGGCACACCTGTAGGCATACATGCACTCAACACATACTAGTATACATACTTAACATATATACTCAACACACATACACACTCAACACTGAGACATTTAATACACAGACATTCAAGGCACTCAACATATACAACCTAAAAACACCCTCAACACACTTAACCGATTGTCAACTGACACACACATTCAATCCCCACACATACTCAACACATACTACCCAACAGATACCCATGGACAAGACACACACACTCACATACTCAGCACACACACATTGAGCTCCCACATTCAACACATCAACATTCACGCACGGTCTGAATATTCATGACGCAAGTGGATTCTGAGATACTTCCCATTTCTTTGCCTTTATTGCCCAGCAAACTGACAGTGAGACCATGTGGAAAACTGAAGTGAGTCAGGAAAGATTCACCACTTTCAATTTTAATTTTATGCCACTTATTGGCCAGATCAGAATTGAGAGGAAAGGAGATCAGGAAAAATGAGCACGTAATTCTTGTGCGTGCACACCCAACCGGCATAGTGCATTCTCTTTTCCTGTCTCTGCCCCTCTGTCTCTGTCTCTATCTCTAATTATGGAAAAGTTGGCCCAGAAGAGTGACCCATTTAGAACTGAGCTCAACAAAAAGTTAATATGCACTATGGCTTTTCAAGGAGACTACTTAAAACAGGCCACACTGAATTTACTCCCCCAAAGCTTGAAAGTTTAGAGAATACTCCAGTTACCACACAGGCAAATTAATTGACATTGGATGATTTGAAACCAAAACTTTAATGAAGAATGCCATGAATAGATGATGTTGCTACATCTAAAATTAATTGACTTTCATTTCCCAACTCTGATGCTAGCAGACTTCTTCCTCAAAATGATAAACCCATAGAGCATTCTGAGTGATGGCATGTAAATGAGTAAGAACACTGTGTTCCCTGTTGTTGATTCTGGTAGACATTCATATGGCAAGAAATATGCTAGGAACGGATGTATTCCATTCTTAATCTGGTTGTTTTCAGACTTTTCTGCTTGAGAACATTTTGTCATTATACTAGTCTTCGTGTTCCTCTTTTTCATGTCTGGTAGCTCGAACTTTTCTCCTGTCACGCTCTGTTCTCAGCATTCCAGGCCAGCCGGATATCTTTATCCTCCACTTGAGACTCTACAGCATCTGTCGCGTGTCTAAATGTGTCTGGCTCAATACAGGTGTTTCACTTGAAGAAAACCTAATAGAGAATTAAAAGTCATTCATAGAGATTCCCTTGACAATTTGTCTTAGTACCTTTTCGGTCTTTCAAATTTTTAATGTATATTCATAATCTTATTTTAGAATATATTGGTGTGATACTGATGGAAAAGGGGGGGGGGGCAGGGTTCATCACCCACAGATAATTTGAGAAGCAATGATGTAGCCAACATTAGAATCAAGAAATTCTATTCATGGAAAGGCATACAAGGATGAAAAGCCACAGAATGGGGGGAAAATGTTTGCAGCACATTAATTATTAAGAAAGTTATAAGAATCAATTCAAATAAAAATGGGCAAAAAACATGAACAGACATTTTACATGAGGGATACTGATGTCTAGTGAACATGTGAGGAGTGTTCGGCCTCACTATCACCAGGGAAGAGACTGTTAAAACCACAAGGAAAGCCAGACAGCCACCAGATCTCCAGAAACAAGGAAGTCTCATCATTCCCAGCGTTGGTGAGGACTCGGAGCCGCAGGAGCTCTCTGGTGGGCGAGCAAGCCAGTGAGAGCCTTTGGAACACTCTGGAAGCATTTGCTAGAGCCGAACATAAAGCCGGGCCATGAGCAGTAATTTCATTCAGAGACCTAGTCCTAGGAACCAAGGAGAATGTGTGCACGAACCCAGTGATGAAAGCAGCATGATCTGTGATGAAAGCAAAGTGAAAACAAGCCAGTGGCCACCACCAGGGGACTAGGTAAGTGGATGTGCGCTGTTCACACTATGGAACAGTAAACAGCTGTGCACACTGTCAGCACACAGTTTCAGACCAAGACATCAATGAAGCTCATGGCCTGTACTTCTGTCCATCTGGTTCCCTCACGGGACCTGCAGGACATTTCAGGGTCAGACTGTCCTATACATTCAGCGCTGTCCTAATGCTGGAGTTGTTCCTGTCTGAAGAACCTGTCCCTACTTGGTGCCCAAACATCATGGGGGTGAGAGAGGGTCTTGAATGAGAGGGCCCTGAGCTCTCCTGGTCATCACTGTGGTTGTCGTCACTGCTGTTAAGAGCATTTGACCCTCAACAAGCTGGTTCTTGAACCACAGGTACCTGTTCAGGTTGTTGTTCGGCCCTCCTGCTCCTCATAGGCTGGGTGCCTGCCCTTGTCAAAGGGGATTCCCAGCTCCTGTTGCTGCTCCCTGCTGTGGACCCTGCCTTTCTGATCTACCTCCTCAGGGGCCTGGGGATGGCATGGGGTCCATGAGATTCTTAGTTCTTACATCCTTTGTTCCTCTATTCACTCCCCTTGAGGATGAGGCAGTAGCCCAGATAGATGACTGGGTGGAAGACACAATGAAAATGTTAAGACATTGAATGAATGCACCGAGGACCCAAGACCTTCCTTTTCCTTCAGGAAATAACCAGCTGCCTCTCTTCCTACCCAGCTGTAGGGCCCTGCAGCCCCTTAATCACTGCTTTCAGCACCACTTCCCTTCCCTCCCCCCTCGCCCCCATCAAAGATTTCATTTTAAATTTTGCCTAGTTGTTCCAATAGCCCTTCTGACTTTTTCCTTCTAGGAGTCCTCAAAATTGACTCCAAATCTGCCCCACCCCCACCCCCATCAGCATTGAAGTAGAACAAAGCCCAGCTTTGGAAGGAGCCAAGTCACAGGTCAGCTCAGAGCCCTGTGTGGTGGCTCCACGCTGAAATGGGTATATTTTTGTAGTTGTTCTTATATATTTTTTTTTCAATTACTCAGTCTCATTTAAAAATACAGCATAGGTTAAAAAAAATGTATGTTATACAAAATTCAAAAGGGAAAAGCTGGGGTACATGGTGGGAAAAATGAGTCTCTCTCTCCCCATCTCCAGCCTCCCAGGCCCCTTCTCCACTATCACCGGTTTCTGCCAGAGCCAGTGTGTGCATATCCATGATTGCAGATGGCGTGTGGATATAGCCTTGCCCTATTTTAAACCCTCAGACAATAGCACACTGCACACAATGTTTGCCTTTTCACTTGAAATTCCTTGGCCATTTAGCTCTTAAAGGCTTCATACCACTCCACTATGTAGAGGCTCCAAAGGCTGCACTGGGATTTTCTTTCCTACTTTTTGCCCATTACAAGTGAGGCTGCCGTGAATAAGAACCCCTGTGTTTCGATGTCCTTCTCTAGACTGTTTCCTGAGTAGTTAGGAGACTGTTTCATGTTTCATTTCCAGAAAAGAGGATGTGGGAAGGGAGGGGTCTTCTGGGGCCTGCTGGGAAATCAGGGCTCTGCTGTGTACCACCACCTCACCTTGGAGAGCCGGTTGTCACGTTGAGGTGACGTGGGAAAACTCCCATGAGAACCATCTGGATGACATGCAATAACACGTTGGTCAAGGTGCTTTAAGAAGTTGAAAACATACAGATATGAGAAGTGTAACTAATGGGGTAGATACTGCTGGAATCGTATCCTGGAACCAGCCACATTGCTTTATGTTTGGATAGATGGTATCCAGAAGGTTGAGAATGCCCAATCCAGATGGACTCAGGGAAAAACTGGGAATCTATTGTTGGCTGTAGGAGTTCATGGGGGAGGGCTGCCTTTAGGCATGGCTAGATTCAAATGCTCAAATGATGTCACCAGGATTCAGTTTCTTTATCTTAGCTCCATCTTGTAATGTACAGTGGTAGCCCCTTGTCTATGGCGATATGTTCCATGACCCCCCAGTGGGTGCCTGAAACTGCAGATAGTACCACACGCTATATATACTATGATAAAGTTCAGTTTATAAATTAGGCACACTAAGAGATGACCAATAATAACTAGTAATAGAATATAACAATTATAACAATATACTGCAATGAAAGTTATGTGAATGTAGTCCCTCTCCCTCTCCCTCTCCTTCTCCCTCTTCCTTCTCCCTCTTCCTACTCCCCTGCCCCCCTCTCTTTCTGATAAACAGTCTGATAACTGAGATAGCTACTAAGTGACTGAGGAACAGGTAGGGTATACAGCCAGGATACGCTGGACAAAGGGATGATTCACATCCCGAGTAGGATGGGGTGGGAAGGCCTGAGATTTCATCAGACTACTCAGAATGGCATGTAATTTAAAACTTATGAACTGCTTATTTCTGGAATTTTCCATTTAATATTTTCAGACCACAGTCGACCATGGAAAACTGAAACTGTGGAAAGGAAAAGGGATAAGGGAGGACTGCTGTGTTGGCTCCATTCTCATCTGTCTCCCCTTGTGGGGACAAAATGGCCATGACGGTCCCAGCCTCGTGGCCTCTCCGGCTTTTGTACAACAGAAAAGGGAGAGAACCTTCTTCCCTAGTAGTTGAACCAAAGGCCCAAACCGACTATGATTGGCCAGTCTTTGGTCAGGTGACTATCCCTGAACCAACCAGAGACTGTGATTCTCTGGTTGTCCCAACCTTTTCTGGGACTCAAGGCAAAGTCAGCCTCACTGGAGTCCTGTGGACTGAGAAGAAAAGAGTAAATACATGAACATAAACCACGTGCTGGTCTGACATTAAGTGAAATGGACACGGGACCATCGAGAGGGCACACGTTTTCACCGCATTTGGGGACTTACTGTTCATGAACCTGTCATTTAAAAATTCGGGCTCTGACAGCTGAGTTCCCATCAAGGAATATCTCCGCTTTCTGTTTTGGGGGTGGTAAAAACAACTAGTCCCATGCATGTGTTTGGCAAGAAAAATGTTTACGTACTGAAATGGCCTTTAAAAATGTTTCTTTATGAGACAGAAGAAAACGCTTCCTCCTGCCGAGTAAAGAGGTTTGCCCTACAAAGAGCTGGCAAGATGATTTTCGTTTTCCATCAGAGCTGAGGGAAAGCAAACACACGAAGGCTGAGCACCCTCCCTGGCACAGCCCAGCAGAGGGCAGGTCCCGGAAACCCCTCCGTATGTGTGAGGATGTTCAAATCAGAGCAAAGAGGGGAAAAAGCAATAATGGTTTTTTGATCCAACATGTGGTTGCTCTTATAATAAGCTCAGCCATGTATTTTGTCAAAAGGGAAAAGGGAGGAGATCCCCAAATATGCTCCCTCACCTTCAAGTTTTGAAAGAGCTGATTATGGGATGCAGATGACCCAGAATTATGCTAGGAAGTGATCGCTGAAATAAATAATTGGTGAGCAGGTCAGTTCTCTGATATTTTCTCAGTTTATGCATCTGTTTCAGCGTCTTGCTGTGCCTTTTTTCTGATTATTTTCCAACTCCACCCTCAGATCTTCATGTCATGGGAGCCTGTCAGTCTCGCTGAGCTCCGGGGAGCCCAGCAGTGCTGGCAGTCAGTGGACAGGCCTTCCTGAGGTACGCACCCTGCTCGGAGCCCTGTCCCATCTCACCATTCAGGTACGTCAGCAGTTACCATCCTGCCCTTGACTCTGCTTTTGGAGAGACGGGGGTGACCGTAGGGACAGGTGAGCCCCAGTACGCAAGCTGGAGGGGGTCACCAGGGGCACAGTGGAGAGCCCCAGGGAGGGAACAGGACCTAAGGGCTCCTTCGCTCTTTTTCTGATTCTATGGTCAAGCAGTTCCCAGCTCCCTCCTTCAAATATTTTGTTTCCAGGCAAGTTGTTCCCTGACAATCAAGTACCCCAAACTGTGTACCCCAGATTTTTCTTTGTTTGATCGGTAACAAGTTTTAACATATCTTAAATTTAAATACCTTTGGGTACAGTATATATACTCTTTAGTTTTCCACAGTCCCCACCACTCCCTATTGCCCTCACATGCCTGCTCCATTATACCTTATCTGACTCTGACCTTCAGCTGGGGGTTCATGTTTACCACCTTGATTCTCTCCCTCCTTGCCCTTTCTCTGAAGTAAATAGCCTCAAGGAATGACTCTAGTCTTGTCAGTATACCCCCTCTCACGCCTCTACTGCTTCCCTGGGCCCCACTGAGTCCCACTCTTCACATCTGCCTTTCATGTCCTCAAAGAAGCCATCCCCCCTCAGAATCTGCACCCATTCTCGCCGCTCTTCCCACCATGCCCTCTGCCCCCTCCTCATTAATTCATACTCAGCCTCCAGAGCTCCACCCTAATGTCACTTCCTGAAGAAAGCCCTTCCTGGCTGCCCAGACCAGGCTGGATCCCGCCACGTGCTCCGAACACCCTGCACTTCGGCTTCACAGCAGCGATCTGATTGTCTTGCAATAGTTACCTATGGAGTGAACTAGTAACTGATGTCTGCCTTCCTCTCGACCTCCACCTCCTCCCAGACATGAGCTCAGGGAGGGCAGGAACTCTGTCTTGCTCATAGTCGGATCTCCAGCTCCTGGCACAATCTGAATGCTCATTACATATTGATGAGTGAGGAAGTGAATGAAAGGATCGTTAGGATGTTGTCAGACTGAGATGGCAGGGAGGAGAAATTCAGGAGAAAGACAGCCCAAAGGGCCCAAAATATTAGAGCATGGAGCTTATGACAGTACCAGGCGAAGTCGAGTTCATTCATAAATTCCAGCCTTCGTGAATGAGCTGGACGTCCGGAAGGTGCCTCGTTCTTTCCCTCACCACTGTGTCCCAAGTGCCCACCATGAATGAGTAGGCAGAAGAAGTTTCCCAGCTTCTGTGGGCCCTTTTACTTGTCCCCAGAAAGTCCCCTTTGCACTCCCTCCGTAGCTTTTCTCACCTCCCCCACTCTGTTTAAACTCCTCACTCCACTTCCTCCTGAAATAAAGGTCATTCGCTAAGATCTTCCTTGGTTTCTCTTTCTTCCATCTCAACTCTGCCCTCAGCAGCACTTCTACTTAGTGGGGCAGGGAGAGCAGTCTTCCCAGGACAAGTTTCTCTAAATGTTTGTGATTTTGCCTGAATTGTTTTTATTTGAGGCGTAAATGGACCCATTGATTTTTCTGATCCACTCAGCAACTTTGCTATTTTTTATTATTTTTGTTGTTGTTAATCCTCACCTGAGGATATTTTCCCATGGATTTTTTTAGGGAGATTGGAAGTGAGAGGGAAAGACAGAGAGAGAAACATCAGTGTGAGAGGAACACATTGATTGGTTGCCTCCTGCACGAGCCCTGACCAGGGCCCAGGCTGGAAAGGAGCCTGCAACCATGGTATGTGCCCTTGATCGGAATCGAACCCTTGGTCCACAGGCAGACACTGTATCCACTGAGCTAAACCGGCAAAGGCTCAACTTTACTATTTTTATTTTTATATATTTTTATTGATTTCAGAGAAGAAAGGAGAGGGAGAGAGAGATTGGAACATCATTGATGAGAGAGAATCATTGATTGGCTGCCTCCTGCACGCCCCCTACTGGGGATCAAACCCGAAACCTGGGCATATGCTTTGACTGGAATTGAACCCAGGACCCTTCAGTGCGCAGGCCGACACTCTATCCACTGAGCCCAAACAGCCAGGGCAACTTTGCTGTTTTTAAATAAAAAAGGGATGTGCCAAGAAATAGCAAGCCGAAACTCCCTGCATTGGTGAAAATCATCTTCAGGGACAGACCACCTTTTGGAGGCCTGGCGACGTAATGGAGGGGAGCGAGTCTGGGTGCAGGAGCTTGGGTGCTGAGCCAGTTCTGACCCAGCTCCTGCGGGGTGGCCCTGCCCAGCACTGGCCCTTTTTGCACTGTGAGGGAGCTGGTCAGGGGCTGGATCTCAAGTCCCTCTCTAACTCCAGTGACTCCCCTGGGTCCCTGAGCTCAGGGTCAGCGGATGTCACGCTTTCCCCCTGCACTGAAACCCGGGAAAGCCCTAGAGCAGTGATGGCGAACCTATGACATCCGCTGACACGGATGTGTCACCTCTGACACGCGAACTCATTTTTTTGGTTGACTTTTCTTTGTTAAATGGCACTTAAATATATAAAATAAATATCAAAAATATAAATCTTTGTTTTACTATGGTTGCAAATATCAAAAAATTTCTATGTGTGACATGGCACCAGAATTAAGTTAGGGTTTTTCAAAATGCTGATGCGCCGAGCTCAAAAGGTTCGCCATCACTGCCCTAGAGCATGGGTCACCTGTGGCAGCATCTGTGGGCTCACCTGTCTCCCTGGACAATCACGGTGCCAGTCTGGGCAAGGGGTGCATTGTGAGGTCCAATTTCCAGGAATGGAAGGAGATTAGAGAAGTGGCTCTTTCTGTGACTTATTGTCAACAAGTCTGTGGTGATGTGCTGCCTCAGCCCCAAGAAATTAATACAGGTTTCTCACCAGATATCCCTTTGAAAATGTCATGCAATTCAGACCCACTGCACTCCGACTGCAACTACCCCTCAAGTTGACAAGCATTCTGTAGATTCTGTCCCAGGAAACACTGTCCTCTCTTTCCTGGGCCTGTGTTCCCTGAGATCTCCACCTGGTCAAGAAGATCAGTCACATACTGACACACAGCAAGATGTCTGCTATCACATCTGTACTGAACACCACCACTGGGATTGAGTGCAGTCAGCACGTCCTGAATGCCCAGCACTGTCCTGGACACAGAGGCACCACACAGACCCCCTTGTTGTGCAGTGCATTGGTCTGTTTGATCTTCACACTCCCCTGTAGGCTAAGTAAGGTGAAGCATTTTATACCGGTTTGGCAGGTGAGTAAACTGAGGTTCTGGAGGTATGAAGTGCTTGCTCAAAGTCGTGTGGTAGGGCTGAGCTTAAACCCAGGATTCCTGCCCATTCTTTCCACACACTAAGCCCCCTCCAAAACCAGTCTTTTGGAAGTCCGGGGAGAGGAAAGGGAACTCTCACAGCAGGTTTCCTAGAAGAGGTAGGATTTGAGCAGTCTTATAAAATGGTAGAATCCCAATGGGTCAGGGCTTGGCAAATTGTGGCCCAACTCCAGCCAGCCTCCTGTTTCGGTAAATAACGTTTTCTTTGAGCGCAGCCTCGCTCACTCGTTTACACATTGTCTGTGGCTGTTTCCATGCTGCAGCAGCCGAGCTGAGTGGTTGTGACAGGAACTGTGTAATGTGTGAAGTCTAAAATATCTACTATCTGGCCCTTTAAGAAAAAGCTTGCCGACTACTGCAATAGATGGGTCCGTGTGTGTGGAAGGGGTTTGTGGTGGGGGGGAGAGGGTAAATGCCTACAGTCTAAGGAAATTCACAGCTTCTGGTTAAAAGTAGCATTCAATCCCTTGGAATAACTATCTTTCTAGTCTTAATAAAAGCAAAAACGCCTATGGTACCTACTATGTGCCAGGCAGTATTTTAACTGCTTTACACATAACAGCTTTTTATTATTATCATCATCCCCCTTGTATAGACGAGGAAACGGGAACAGAGAGATCAAGCCGCATGCCCAAGCTTGCACGGGTAGCGAGTGGCAGAGCCAGTGTTCCGAGCTGGGCAGCACACGCCAGAGGCTGTGTGCAGAGCTGCCTCCATATTGCTTCCCACACCCTGAGGAATCCCCAGCATTCATTCATTCATTCGACAAGAATGTGGAGAGCCCTGCTGTGATGCAGGCCCAGAACTAGATGCTATACGAAGAACCAACTATTTCCGCTCAGGCGTTTTCCTGACGGCCCACACACCCTGCCACTCGCCTGGGAGCAGAACCACTGCTTGCGGAATGGTGACTGTCTTTAGATGCACTGGCCTTGGGAGGTTCGGGAAGCTATGACAGAGACAAAGCGCTAAAGCCATGAGGCAGTGATCACAGGCAGAGTCACCCGCTGAGTAAGGCAGGGAGGGAGGCCGCGGGCCCTGTCGTGACGCCCAGAGACTAGTCACTCCGGCCTTGAGGACCTCTTACATCCACTGAGGCTGCAGACTCTGCTGAGAGCCACCTCATGATTAACTGGAGAGGATGAGAATGATGGGCAAGCTGGCCAGCTCCAGCATTGCACCCGCCCCATCAGCGCCAGGCAGCTTTGTTCAGCTGCCCAAACATCCTAGGGTGGCTTATTTCTCGTCCCCTGGCAAGGTGGTTGGTGCAAGAAAATTCAGTATCTGCATCTTATCGGGAGACGCAAACTTTCATACTGATTATTTCACCCGAGGTTGGAGGCGGGGGGCGGGGGGGTGGGGTGGGCAGGGAGGACTCTCCGCTGCAGTATGTTTCAGAGGAAACAAGGGCTCCCACCTACGGAGGTGAATTTACCTGGCCCTGGCCTCTTGCCACTCCACCCCCAGCTGCTGGGGAGCTGGAACGGGGAAGAGAAACTGTCTATCAGCTCTCTCCACCCACAACCCCTGCTCCTCAGACAGCAAGTCCAGGAGGAGAAAAACAGGTTGTACTTCAGTGCTGCTCAGCCACATAAATCCTCCCCCTCCCACCCCATCAGCCCAATGCTGAGAAGCGGAAGGAAGATTTGATGGGGCTCCCTGGCCCTTGGGAGGATGGCACACAGCATCAGTCATGGGGTAGTGGGTGTCAAGTTGGGGGGGGAGTGGGGGGAAGAATACGCTCCACCCCAAACGAAATGGAAGGAAAGAAAAAATACCTGGGTATGAATAACAGGCTGCCCTCTCAAGATAGCTGCATTATCTGGAGGCAGGCAGCCCAGGGCAGGACAGGGAACAGTTCCCAGTTCTGCAGCCCTCAGGGGACATCCACCTGCAACACCTGCCTCTGCCGGTGACCTCGACCTCATAGACCTCGGCTGAAGGCCCCTGGCACAGCTGCTGGTGAGCTGGCCGCCTGGGGGTTTGGGGGACCCTCGCAGCTCAAAGAGGCAGGCTCCAGAGAAAAGGGCGGAGCACCAGAACCCACTTCAAGGACACCCAGAGCCTGGCTGGTACCTCAGCGCCTCTGGGCCTCCTCGGCTGGTGCCCCTGCTCTGAGCGGTGGACACCTTTCACCACCGGCCCCCTGCCCACATTCCCTTTGTGCCTAAAGCTAAAGGCTTAAGCGAGCTCCCCGCTGCAGGCAGGCCTGGCCAGGATTTCAGGAATGAGCTGGCCAGCAGGCGGTGATTCCAGGTGCCCAGTCCAGTCAGCAGATGCCACCGTTTATTTAAATCAGCAAGTGACCATGGAGAGTCTCCGTGTGCCACTTGGGCCCAGGCCCTGCTCACACAGCGCTGAATGTCTAGCTGAGGGACATGGATCCGAAACAGATAAATACAGAACCATCAATGGCACCGTGTGCTCTGGAAGAGAAGAGCCAGGTGCCGAGACGGCAGGTACCAGGAGCCCTAAGTTAGCTGAGGGCTCAAAGGAACTGCGGAGGCAGCTATGGAGCCTTGCGGTGGGTGGGCTGTGGACGTTGTGGGAGGGGGAAGCTGTGCAGCCAGAAGAAACCGCCCCTGTGAGCATGTGGTGTAGGCCCCAAACAGGCCGCCAGTAACCCAAGTTGGGTACAAGGGAGAGAGTGACATGGGAAGAGGACAGGGGCTCAGCCATGGCCCAGTGTGATGTGACTGTTACTGGGTTCCCCCCAGGCTCAAGTATCAAACAGCGCAGCCCCAAGCTCTTTATCAGGATGCTTGCTATTGTTTGCTTTCTTTCTCTCTCTTTCTCAACTTTACATTTGGCATGCATTTAAACCCAGACCCTGCAGCCTTTCATTTCCTGTCTGTGTGCTTCAACGCCATCATTCGCCCTCTCTGAGCTATCCTGGCAGAAATACATGTCTAGGAAAGAAACCAGAAGACGTGAGTCTTAAGAAAGACTCTCTGGGGGCCCTGACTTAGGGGCTCCTCCCTGGAGACCCCACTCTCTGTCCAATGCTGAAGGCAACACTGTTACAGTGCAGGAGGGGAGGGAGCCAGGGTCTGGATTTGAGTCCTGATTCTGCTCCCAGTTGACTGTGTGACCTAGAGCACATCACTCACCCTTCCAGGAGTTTGTTACCTCATCTGTGAAAATTACTGATCCCACTAGACCAGGGGATCCATATGCAGACTTTAAAAGGGTCCCCAAACCCCCAGAATTGTACATAAAGTTTAGTGGACGTGAGTGCGATGCATTTTTCTGGGGAGAGTCCACAGCTCTCACTCAATTGTCAAAGAGGACCAGGACCCCAAAAAAGGATTAGGAGCACCTGCCCTGGGGGATGTCTGTGAGCCCACAGCTTTCACAGTGGTCAGACAGCTGGCTCTGAAGTCTCGCCATGGGTGCGCTTACTGAAAACGGAAGAGATGTGGCTTTTCCCAGAGGGACCTGTGGGGGCAGGGAGATTCGAGGGTGCTGCCGCATTTCCGGTAAACTGCCTAGAGCAGTGGTTCTCAACTTTCCTAATACCGCTACCCTTTCATACAGTTCCTCATGTTGTGGTGACCCCCAATTTCATTGTTACAAATTGAACATAATTAAAGCATAGTGATTAATCACAAAAACAATATGTAATTATATATGTGTTTTCCAATGGTCTTAGGCGACCCCTGTGAAAGGGTCATTCGACCCCCAAAGGGGTCGCGACCCACAGGTTGAGAACCGCTGGCCTAGAGGGCGTTCTGAAGACGCACTCCTGAGTCTGCGGGGCCTGAGCAGCGTGCTGTGATCCCCTCAGTCTAAGCAGCCACTGGGCACTTCACCTCGCTTTCATAATTCTGGACTCTTTTTATTAAGGCGAGACCCCAACTTACAAGTCTTTGGACACCGTACAACCGGGGTTTGTTCTTGGACCCAGAAGGGGGAGTGGGGGTCCCACACTCAGGTGCTGCTCCCCCTCTCCAGCTCTCTTCCCACTTGGCAACGCAGCCATCCCGAACCTGCCCTGCCCTCTTTCCTTTCTCCTTTGCTGTGGGTTCCAGGGAGTGGGTCGGAAATGATCTGAACGAGGGGCCAGGCTCCCTGGGACAATGGCCCGGTATTCTCAACGTGGGAGAGGCCCGTGCTGTGACTCAACCCCGCCCCAGCCCAGGGTCCACACCTCCTCGGAGCCGGCTGCGTCTGTTCAGAGGCGGCCCAGCTGTGCTCCGCGTGGCCCAGTCCGACACCTCTCACTTCCTCTGCGAACGGAACTCGGTGTTTGGATGACGTGCAGGCAAGTCGGTTGCGCAAAAGAGCACATCTCCACCTTTGGTCGCCTGCCCAACCCCCAAGGCCTAAAAAAGGCAAAGAAACAGAAAGAAAAGTAACACCTGAGAGGAACTGGGCTTCCAACAAGCACAGACTTTGATCAGAGTCGCTGCAGAGGGGTCCCGGGCGCACCTGAGACCCGGTCAGATGGCAGGCCGGCGCCTCCTGGCTGTGTGGCCAGTGCCCAGCAGGCACCTCCTGGAGGGGCAAGGAGTGGCCGGGGGCGTGGGGCACCGACTCCCACCCCAAACCAGGGTGGGGCCAATGGTCCAGGCTTCCGGCCATTTCCCGGTGGCCACCCCCTCCAAGCCCAACGTTGTCACAGAGCCCCGCTCCCCACCTTTACGAGACGCACGCCGGACAGATGTTTGGCCTCTGGACCTGCCCATTTCCTTCCTGCCCTTGGGCTGGGCAGCTAGACCGTGACACGTGGATGAACAAATCTTCCAGGAATGATGCTCCTTGGAGTTTCTTGGCTGAGTTAAAAATAAGCAAATAAATGAAAATTTCTACCAGTCACGTGAGGCAGCTTGGTCCGCTGCACCTGCCTACGCAGCCGGGTGCCTGTGGGGCTGTCCTCCCGCAGTCTGGTTTGTCTGAAGAGAGGGGAGATGAACCCAGAGCGAAAGTCACGGTTGGTGAATTGGGCAAGTCCCTGACCCCGTCTGGGTCTCACTTTCCTGTTTGCGGGGCCTTGAACGCCCACAGCAGAGAGGAGTCTGGAGGACGAAAGGGACACTGCCAGCGCAGTGCCAGGCACACAGTGGGTATCGGTCATTGTCCCCTCCTGTGTCCCTTCTCTCTGAGCTGCTTCCCTCCCTCTGGCCGCACTGGCTGAGGCGAAGGCTCACCCTCGGGCCTGCAGGCGTCGGAGGCCTCGCGCTCCCTCCCACCGGGTTCAGCAGCCACAGAGGCCTTTGCATCTGGCTTCCTGGTTTCTTCCCCAACCCACTGCAATGCCAGTTCTCTCATCTCTGTTCCGACTCCAGCAGCCACTCCCTCCGGGCCTTAGGGTGGCTCTGTGCCTCTAAGCATGAGGCTGTCCTGCCAATTCATGGACTTTGTCTGCTTTGTTTACATGCCTGCCCTCCCCTTGCACTGGGAGCTCCCCTGGGGTCCCTCCCGGCTCAGAACAGTAAACCTAGCATGGGGTCAGGTCCACACACAGGGACCATTAAAGCCCCCAAGAAGGAAGGATCCAGCCTCGGACAGCCTGCCCATGGCAGCAGGGAGCTCTCAGTCCTCCTCCTCCCAGGGGAGATCGAGTCTCAAAGGTCAGCTGGGCCCTCGCCCCCACCCCACCCAGGTGACTTCCTCCTAAGGAGGAGGAGGAGGAGCAGGAGGAGGAAGGCACAGCTTCTGGAGGCCTATTCTTGGGATGCTCTGGTGGAAAGAGCCAGTCTTCAGGGGCTTGGGGTAGGATGTAGGGTGGGGTCACCATGGGCCTCCATCCTCAGCCCCACCCTCTCCCCCACACCCTCTGCCTTGAGGTGGCCAGGGGCACAGTCGTGCGTCTGGTGGCTCCCCATGTCACCATCAGGTGAGTCTGCGTCAGAGCCTCGGGTTTGACATCTGGTTCTGAATCTGCCTGAGTGATGTCTTCTTCTGGTTTTGAAGTTCCTGCCAAGGAGGACTGCCGCTGGAATGCGGCCTCTGCTGACATCTGGGCTGCTGGGCCTCAGCCACGAGGCTGACCCAGCTGGCTCACCCATCGAACGATGTGGCTTCCAGGTGTGGGCCAGGGAACCTCCTGTCAACCAGCCACACTCGCCCAGTGAGCATGTCTCCAAGACAGGCAGCCCAGACCCGGACACAGTGTGTGGCTAGGGATGAGCACACCCGCCACAAACATGAATGCTAGTCCTATATACCAGTCCACGAGCCGAGCGCAACCTGTGCAGGATCTAATGTAATCACACAGACTGCCCTAGCAGAGATCAGTATCCCCACTTTACAGAAGAGAAAACTGAGGCTCTCAAATTGAGCCCCTGGCCGAGGCCACACAATGGTGGCACCTGTGTACCAGGCAGGCCAAAGCCCGTGCTAACCACTGTACTCCACTGCCTCAGGGAAAGGGAGTGAAGCTGACTGAGCCCACACAGAGGTTTCATCAGCGTGAATGATGAATGTGTGTGAGCAAGGCTGCCAGCAACCAGCGCAGGGATTTCCCTCCACCAGGGCTCCAGGGGGAAAAACAAACAGGAGGGAAGGGGCCACTCCTTGCCTGGCCCTCCCAGTCCCCCCCTCCCCCCTCCAGCCCACCTCCCTCTCCCACATGTTTTCCCACCAGCCTCCCACCGGAAAGGAGGAGAGAGAGATTTGAGCACCTATGTTAGTTTCCCTTTGTCATCCATGCGATTCTCATCCCAGCCCCGGGAGGCTGGGTGTCATCCACGGATTTGTAGGTGGAGAAACCGAAGCTCTGAGCGGGCAAGCGACTTGCTCAAGATCATTTCATGGGAAGAGCTGGGCTTGAGACAATGCTAACCCTGACCTAGAGCCTGTATGTGGGCTGCCCCACCACAAAAGAAGAGAACTCCTTGCAAGAGGCTGATAAAACGTCCGTAGCTTGGAGAGCAGGGCTGTGCCTGATGGGAAGGAAGGAAGGGGTGGTCGCGAGGAGAGAGGTGCCCTCCTCTGGTGAGCTCGGCCCCTGCCCTCCCTGCTCAGGCCAGCTGACCAGCCCCTGCCAAAGAGAAGGAGGACGCTGGGCCTCCAGCAGACAGCCGTCTGCAGAGTGAGCCGCCCGGCGCTGGCCGTGTGTAGTACACTCAGCACAAAGCGTCGAGAAGCACCCGACCAAGAGACCCAAGAGACGTGACTTCCTCCTGAGACCTCAGACTGCACACTCCTTGTCCACCGTCTCCCCAGCAGCTCACCCACCACAGGCCAGAGGCTCCCACGGCCAAGGAGCCAGCTTGTGCTCTGTGACTTCCCTTTAGGGAGACGCCTTGCCTGGGGCCACTCAGACCACAGGCTCTATGCACCTGCCTGATGACTCTCAGATCATCTGGAAAAATGACTAAATACCAAAATATTCTTACTAGTTAGCTCTTATCCACCAACACTTCTGCTGGTAACAGGGGCTGTGTCATCGTCTGTGTGGTTGGATTGATTTTTTTTAACCTTTCTGAATATTCTAGATTCTCTCAAATGAGAATGGATGATTTTTATATTCAAGAAAAAAATCATTTTCAAAGTCAGCATCAATAGCAAAAAGAGTTCCTTTGAGGCTGAAGGTAAGAAAGCAAAAATGTGCACAGCACTAAGAAAGGTGGCCGTAGAGAAGGGGGCTGGCGTCCGACTGGGGGGTCTCAACCTCTGCACCGTTGACTTTCTGGGCTGGGTCATTCTCTGTCCTGTGCTTGTAGCATCCTGGCCTCTACTCACCAAATGCCCCCCACCCTCCTGCCCCAGTCTTAACACCCAAAACTGTCTCCAGACATTTGGCCAATGTCCCCTGGAGGGCAAAAGAGCCCGTAGGTGAGAACCTCCATTCTAGCTCTGCAATCTTTGACGTGAAGGGAAAGTCATCCCTCCAGCCACAAAGCATGGGGTTCCTTCACCAGGACCTTGCTCTCCTGAAACTCTTCCTTCTTCCACCTACTCCCACCCAAACCGGGAGGCAGAAAGCCTGCCCTGAGGGTTCAAGTCTTCACATCACCTAGCTGTAGGGCCTTGGTGGGTTGAATGGCCCCTCTACACCTCAGTCTCCTTATCTGTACAATGAAGGGAAGTCTGGATGAGCTCTAAGATCCCGTAGCCTGTGTCAATGCCAACCCCCTTAGTTGTAGGTGAAGAAAGTGGCCTTTGGAAATGTTGTCTTGCCCAACGTCACACACCTAACCATTGGCAGAGCCATTACTAGGACCCAAGTCTCCTGATCTCTACCTCCACCCCCTCTTCACCATGCTCTCCTCCCGGGTCCTCCGTGGATTAGAAGCAGCTCTTTCTTGTGCCAAAGATCAGAAGGGAGATGGAGGGTAGCTGGGTCAGGCCACTTATATGTGCCATTGAGTGAGCAGGGCACAGAGAAACCTCATCTCTGTAAGTAACAACAGTGACGTGACTTTCCGAGGGCACCCAGGCAACACACAGACACGGGCTCGTCAGCTCTTTCAAGACGGGGGAGCGTCTGGGAGTGAAGACTGCGTGCTGCTCGAAGGCAGTGGCTGTGACAGAGGCTGCAAATGCCACTCCGGGGATGTGCTAATGAAGGCTCCACATGCACAAACGGGAGGCGTCCTCTGCTCTCCCTGGCACCGGCTCCTCCTGGCAGGGGAGCTGCCGGCGGGGCTGGAAGGAGCCCAGAAGAAAGTTCACCGGGAGCCAGATGGAGAAGGAACAGAACTCGCTGTCTGGGCCAGCCATCGCCAAACAGACGGGGTGCTTGTCCATCTGCCTTGGGGGACATGAAGAGGAGCTGGCGTGGGGGGAGGAAGAGGCTTAGCTAGCGGATGGAAAGGGGTCGGGCAGTTTCCAGCCTGTGTGGAAGCCTCCATCTCATAACCCTCGGCCTCTGGGGCCGCCTTCATCCCTGGCCTGGAGATGCCAGCCGGACGGGGGGCCAGGAGCCATCCAAAGACAAAACACAGACAGGGCGTGAGTCAGGAGCGGAGGGAGGTCAGTTTGCAGATGGGTTGCTTGGCATTCACTTCCTGCGAAGACCCAGCTTTTGTCTCCCAGGTTCGCACAGGGGGAAGGTGTCCAGGGCAGAGACGCTTCGAGATACTGGGAAGGAGAGCTTGTCCAGGTAAACGCGTCCCTGCCTCATGCAGGCGCAGTCAGGTTAAAACTAGCATCCAGGGCAGCTGTGAAGGCGAGCTGAGTCACAAGGGCTAACGGTAAATGGGTCCCTCACGTTTCCAGGGGTGATACTGGCGGGGCAGACAGGTTCTAGGAGCCCTGGGTCTTAGCAGCAACCTCCCTCCCGCCCACATGCTGCTTTTCCAGACCTGGAGGGGTCAGGCCGCGTGGCCTACCATGTGTCACTGGCACCAGCCACAGGCTGCCCTCCCGTGTCCTAACTGTGTCAGAAAAAGGCTGCACCCCCCACTGAACACCCCCACCCGGGAGATCGCCGCCGCTGACTCAGTGAAGCATCATCCTGGGTTAGTGGCCTGGTCGGAAGAGCAGGGCTGAGACCTCCCCAGAGAACACATTACAAAGAGGCAAAAGAAGACAGCACCAGGCCTCCGCAGGAGACAAGGATGGACTCCATTAGATCTTTCCCGGAGCCTGCAAAGTTGGACAAGTCAGCCAGAAGCTCTGCACCTCTGTTCCCCTCTTGATATAGTGACTATACTGGTTCTTTTGTCCTCTCACTCTTAGAACTTTTTTTTTTTTTTTTAGATAAAATGAGGTAATAGCTTTCTATGAGTTTGGACCCATATTCACCCTACACAAAGCTGCAAGGGATGTGATTCATCACTTCTGTTGGTGTCAGCACCCTGATTCTGCCAATGGCTCCCCAGCCTATGGACATGGGGATGCTGTGTGTAAGGGCCAGCTACATGTGACAGGGGCTACAGATGGGGGGCTGACACCAATAGAAATTGCCCACACACTGTGCTCTGCTTACACGTCCCGACCCCTGTCAATGGCTGAGGTCACACTCCATCTGCAAAGCTAAAGAGAAACCACAGAGGAAGGTACCTCATGGGCAGTGGTAGGTAGTTAAGAGCACAGGCTCTGAGGGTGAAACATCCTGGGGTCAGACCTCAACTCCCCCCCCCCCCCCCCCCCCCCCCCCCCGCCACGAGCGGTGTGAGCTTGGGCAAGGCCCTCACCATGCCTAGTGGAGCCTCGGCCTCTCCTCCTGAAAATGGGACTTCCGGCTGGGCTGGGGGAGGTGGGGGGGAGCACTTCGCCCAGGGTCTGCAAAGAAAGCACTTAGCACAGAGCCCAACTCGATGGGGAGGAAGACCTTAATGCTTACTGCTTCCTTTCTTTTGTCTGCAATCCCACACTCACTCTGCACATTTTTCTTTATTCC